CGGGTGCTGTGCCAGGGGGATGCCTTGGGTACTGCAGTGCCCTCACCACGGGGACTTTATCCCGAGGGGGTGCAGGACTTTATCCCCCGTGTGGGACGTGCTGGAACGGGGTGGGGGGGTACAACCCGCCTCCCCCCCCCCACCCCATGAGCTGCCATCAGATTTTCCCCACCGGCAGCGAAAAGGCCCGCTCAGCAGAGACACAGACAAAGGCTTTTTGTGCCTCGTCCCTTTGTGTGTCCCTCCCCGCTCCCCGGCCATCGCTCCAACCCAGACGGCGCCTGAATTTTAACACCCTCCCCCCGGGATGGGCTGGGGAGGGAAGGAAGGGAGGAAGGAAGGAAGGAGCTGGCACTCGGGGGCAGGATCCCGACGGATCCCCTCCCAGGTTGCCGATTATCTCCGGTTTTGGGGGCGCTGGGTGCTGCCAGGGCGTCGGGCAGGACCCTCTGCTCCCTCTGGCCACAGAGCGGGATGCACAGCCAGATGTGCAGCCAGATGTGCAGCCGTGGCCACCAGCAACATCCCCCACCTTAAACCCTCCACTGAAACCCTCCCCAACTCAGCCAAGGTGTTGGGATTCCTGCCATCTCTCCAAGCTCCCTGTCCCGGTGCGAGAAGAATGGCTTTTCCAGCAGATTTCACCCCCCAAACACGAGGCTTTGAGGGGCTGGGGGGGGGGACTCTGATTGACTACACACCCCCCCTCCCCAAAAGTGACATCTTCTTTCTCATCCCCTCCAGCCAACGCCGGGTCGGAGAGATGGGGCGTCCCCAGCTCCCTGTCCCGGTGCCAGGCGAGATGTCCGCCGGCTGCTCCGGCTCTGCCCTGGCCCCCGGTGTGTCCCCCCCCCCAACTCCACCGACACCGGGGGCTGCAGGATCATAGAATCACAGAATGGTTTGGGTTGGAAGGGACCTCAAAGATCATCCAGTTCCAACCCCCCTGCCCTGGGCAGGGACACCTCCCACTAGAGCAGGTTGCTCAAGGCCCCATCCAGCCTGGTCTTGAACCCCTCCAGGGATGGGGCATCCACAGCTTCTCTGGGCAACCTGTTCCAGTGTCTCACCACCCTCAGAGTAAAAAATTTCTTTCTGATTCAGATTAGATATCAGAAATTTTTTACTCTGGGGGTGGTGAGACACTGGATGGAGCCACCCGTCCCTCTTGGCCCCGTCTGTGGCTCCAGGCAGCGTCCCAGGCCGGAGCCCAGCGCGGTGCCAGGTCCCTGCCCTGGCTTGGGAAGCATCACTCATCCCAGCAGCTCTTTCCGCCTCGCCCGAGGTTATCACCACCAAGGGGACCTTTTGTCCCCAACTCCCCCATCCGTCCCCCCCCACCCCCCCCATCCCTCCTCCTCCTGGGTCCCATCCAGACCCCCAGGCATGGCTAATTCCTCCTCCTTTGGGTTTTTTTATGCTTTTTTTTTTAAATTTCCTTTCCATGCATTTTTTTTCCCCAAAGATCCCATACAAAGATTCTCAGGGGATGCTTTGGGGGGGCTGGAATTTGCTACCAGGGGGGGTAGGGAGGGGGTTCCCAGGAGAAGAATGGCTTTTCCAGCAGATTTCACCCCCCAAACATGAGGGGCTGGGGAAGGGGGGTACTCTGATTGACTACACCCCCACCTTCCCCAAAAGTGACATCTTCCTCCTCGTCCCCTCCAGCCAACGCCGGGTCGGAGAGATGGGGCGTCCCCAAATGCCAACGCCCCCCCGGAGGGGCCCTTCCCCTGGGTGGGCCCGAAGACGCTGGTGCTGCGGAAGAGCTCACAGGGGGGGTTCGGCTTCACCCTCCGCCACTTCATCGTCTACCCCCCGGAGTCGGCGGTGCATTGCACCACCAAGGTAGGGCTGGGACCTGGCCTCGGGGACAGGGTGGGGGGCACAGGGACCCCCAGAGCTGCTGGAGTGGGGCTTGGAGGTGCCGAGGTTGGATGCAGGACGCTTGTGCATGGGTTGGGGGTGGGTGGTGGGGGAGTGGGGAACCGTGGAGTGGAGCATCCATCACCTGCCTGGTTGGGGCACCTGGGGCTGCCCCCACCCACGGGTGGACCTGGGATGGAGGAGCCCGTGGAGCTGCTGGAGGATGTGCTCTGAGCGAGAAGCGAGTTGGTGGCAGCTCTGGAGATGTCCCAGAGCCTTTGTGGTGGGGGACGCGGCCGTCTGCGGGAACAGAATCATACAGAATCTTCTAGGTTGGAAGGGACCTTAAAGATCATCTTGTCCAACCATCAACCTAACTGACAAAAATAGACACCCACACAACAAACAAGGAGCATCCCAACAGAGGGAATCCCTCAGCTCCGGACCTTCCCGGGAACGGCAGGAAAAGGACTTCAGGGCCCCCGAGGGAGGGGACATCACTCGGGCCAAACTGAACCACCCGTGGCCATCAGGAGGCCAAGCCTTGTTCTCGCTTTGGAGGATGCCATTCAAGCCCTTCATCATGTCCCTCCTCCTCCTCCTCCAACCAGCATCAGCTCGTCCCCTCCAGCCCAGGGAAGTGCCGGCAGCTCCTCACCCAGCGAGGGGACATGTGCCCAGTCCCACCAGTACTCACTGCCTCCAGCGCAGAGGATTTTTGGCTCCCAGTTTCCTGCTGTCAATGGGAGGCTTCAGGCTGGATCTACCCCAGGACCCGGCGAGTGAGATCATGTCTTGGCTCAGCTGCAGCCAGACCCTTCCCAGGTGCTGCCTTTTTGGGGGGAAACCAACCCCCCAGGTGCCTCCTGCACCCCCTGAGCTGTCGAGAAGCCCCGATCCAGGCAGCATCTTCTCCTTGTGGGATGGAGGGACCCTACAAAACCACCCAGTAGCTTCCAGTGTGGACCATGCCCTCTGCCTGTGGCCTGAAGGTGCCGATCCAGCTCTCTTGCCGTGCCATCTCCAAGCCCCCAAGGTCTGAAACCCCCTTCTGACCCCATTTTCTTGGTGCAGATGAAGGGAAAAGTGTCTGGGAGCCCTTGTGGTCCTTCAGAGCCCTTTCCCCGCTCCAGCGTGGGAAGATCTGGATGCTCCCATCATCTCCAGAGCTTCCCAGCTGCCTGCAGCCCCACGGCTCCAGTTGCCCCAGGGGCTGGCGCTGGCTGCCTCCTCCCCACAGGCAGGGAGCTCGGTGGGAAGTGAGTCACAGGGTGGGGAGAAGCGACTCGCCGGAGTCCCCACTCCACGGACTCCGTCACAGCTCCCGACTCTGCCTCCCCAAATCCTTCCTGCCTGCACTTTCCTGCCTGCCCCGGGGAACGCCGACCTGACCCGTCCCCAGCAGCGTCACTCTGCCGAGGAGCTTTCATGGAACCATGGAATCATTTCTGTGGAAAAGACCTTTAAGATCATCGCGTCCAACCGCTGACCCGGCACTGCCAAGTCCACCGCTAACCCGTGTCCCTCAGCACCACGTCTGCCCAGCTTTTAAATGTCTCCAGGGATGGCAACTCCACCACTGCCCTGGGCAGCCTCTTCCAAGCCTTGACAACCCTTTTGGTGAAGAAATTTTTCCCAATGTCCATCCTAAACCTCCCCTGGTGCAACTTGAGGCCAATTCCTCTTGTTATATCGCTTCTTACTTGGCTTTTCAGGGAGTTGTAGAGAGTGAGAAGGTCTCCCCTCAGCCTCCCTTTCTCCAGGCTGAACACCCCCAGCTCCCTCAGCTGCTCCTCAGAAGTTCTCCAGACCTTCTCCTTGTGCTCCAGACCTCTCCCTTGCCCTTCTCTGGACACACTCCAGCCCCTCAATGTCCTTCTTGATGAGAGGGACCCAAAACTGGATGCAGCACTGGAGATGGGGCCTCACCAGTGCCCAGTCCAGGGGGATGGTCACTGCCCCAGTCCCGCTGGCCACACTATCTCTTATACAGGCCAGGATTCTGGTGGCCTTCTTGGCCACCTGGGCACGCTGCTGGCTTATATTCAGCCATCTGTCAACCAGGGCCTTTTCCACCAGGCAGCTCTCCAGCCACTTTTCCCCAAATCTGTAGCGTCCATGGAGTTGTTTGTGACCCGAGTGCAGGACCTGGCACTTGGCCTTGTTGAACCTCATCCCATCGGCCTCATCCCATGGATCCAGACTGTCCAGATCCCTCTGTAGATCCCTCAAGCAGATCAACGCTCCCGCCCAGCTTGGTGTCATCTGCAGACTTACTGCGGTGGATCTCGTCCAGATCATCGATAAAGATATTAAAGAGAGCTGGCGCCAGCACCGAGCCCTGGGGAACACCACTGGTGACCAGCAGCCAACTGGATTGAACCCCAGTCGCCACATTTCATCCCGGGGATGGCCCCAACTTGCTCCGAACTGACCCACTCTCATCCACCATCCTCCTCGAGCATCCTCCGTGGAGCCAGGGCCTGGTCCTGCCCCGCGGCGCTGGGCACCGGGGCTGAGCCCTGGCTGGGGGCGGGAGCCGTGGGAAGGAGCCGGATCAACGCCGGGAGGTGGAGATGCTCTTGGAAAGGGGTTGGGAATCGCTGCCGGCAACCGGCACTCCCGGGCCGGTGGGGCAGGGTGGGGTAGGGCTGGCTCAGCACCCGCGGGTGCCGGCGGGCCGCCAGGTCCGGGGGCTGAGTTTCGGTGGGGGTTGACTCAGCAAGGGAGGGTGACGGCAGAGCCTGCCTTCGCCGCCCCGTGTTTTGGCACCGCCGCACCCAGCCCGGGGAGCAGGGCTGCCCCGCGGGCCGGGAAGGGCTCCTTGGGTGCCGCAGGGCCAGGAGAGGCAGGGAGAGGGGCGAGTCCTTGCCTCCAGGGGCTCTTGGTGGCCCCAGGCTCCTGCCGTGGCAGCCACTCGGTGCATGGGTGGTGGTGCCGGTTGTGTGCTGGGGCCATGGACGTGGACACCCTGGAGAGGTGCCTTCAGCCCCCTCCTCCTCCTCACGGGGAATGTCCTCCCCGTCACCCTGGGATGGAGACTGGTCCCTTCCCAGCAATGGGCACAGTGGAGACATGCCTTCAGCCCCCTCCTCCTCCTCTCGGGGAATACTCCCCCAGTCACACTGGGATAAAGACAGGTCCCTTCCCAGCAATGGACACTGTAGAGGTGCCTTCAGCCCCCTCCTCCTCCTCATGGGGAATGTCCCCCCCATCACACTGGGATAGAGACTGGTCCCTTCCCAGCAATGGACACTGTAGAGATGCCTTCAGCCCCCTCTTCCTCATCATCATGGGGAACGTCACCCCATCACATCGGGATGGAGATTGGTCCCTTCCCAGCAATGGACACTGTAGAGGTGCCTTCAGCCCCCTCCTCCTCCTCACGGGGAATGTCCCCCCCGTCACCCTGGGATGGAGACTGGTCCCTTCCCAGCAATGGGCACAGTGGAGACATGCCTTCAGCCCCCTCCTCCTCCTCTCGGGGAATACTCCCCCAGTCACACTGGGATAAAGACAGGTCCCTTCCCAGCAATGGACACTGTAGAGGTGCCTTCAGCCCCCTCCTCCTCCTCATGGGGAATGTCCCCCCCATCACACTGGGATAGAGACTGGTCCCTTCCCAGCAATGGACACTGTAGAGGTGCCTTCAGCCCCCTCTTCCTCATCGTCACGGGGAACGTCACCCCATCACACCGGGATGGAGATTGGTTCCTTCCCAGCAATGGACACTATTGAGGTGCCTTCAGCCCCCTCCTCCTCTTCACGGGGAATGTCCCCCCCGTCACACTGGGATGGAGATTGGTCCCTTCCCAGCAATGGACACTGTAGAGGTGCCTTCAGCCCCCCCTTCCTCATCATCATGGGGAACGTCACCCCATCACATTGGGATGGAGATTGGTCCCTTCCCAGCAGTGGGCACAATGGAGAGATGCCTTCAGCCCCCTCTTCCTCCTCCTCATGGGGAATACTCCCCCTGTCAGCCTGGGATGGAGACTGGTCCCTTCCCAGCAATGGGCACAGTGGAGAGATGCCTTCAGCCCCCTCCTCCTCCTCTTCATGGGGAGCATCCCCCTGTCGCACTGGGATGGAGAGTGATCCCTTCCCAGCATTTTGGAGGGACCTGCCCTCCCTGGGGACGTCGGGGCTGTGCCCTGCCCCAGCTTGGGCACCCCCTGGGCAGCGTGGCTCTGCGAGGGGGGGTCCCCACGGGATGACATGAGGGACAAGAGCAGAAACCCACGGGTGCAGTTCCCACCCCAAGGTGGGACAGAGCCCATGGCTCCCAGTGCTGTCCCCTGCCCGTGGCTGGGAAGGGGGTGCCAGGACCCCCCCTGCAGTGCCCGCCGCAGCCCTGGCAGCCTGCCCCGTGCTGAAATAATTGCAGAGCTAAATATAGCCCAGCCGGTGGCCGGTGCCCCTCCGAGGACGCCTGCGCAAAGCCGTCCCCTTCCCGGGGGTCCCTGCCACCGGGACCCACTTCCGTGGTGGCATGGGTGCCAGCGGGCACCCCCATCCCTCCCCTGGCACCCCACTGGGGGGGCTTGGGCTCTCCCCCGCCAGGCTCGGTGGCCCAGGAGAAGGGTGAGGTGCCACCACGGGGCTGGCTGTGCCCCTTCCTGCTCCCCTGCCCCAAAACTGGCCCCATCCCCGGTAGCTGGGTATGGGGGGGTTGTGGGGGGACCCCCTCCCTGCCCGCTGGTGGGGCTGCGTGGGCGGCACAGCCAGATCCGGTGTCGGGAGGTAATTTTAGCCAGGGGTGGCGGAGGGCAGGGGGACACGCAGGTCCCACGAGGGGCTGGCACCCCTTGGGACTCCTGCCCGTCCCCCCGCCCCGGCTGCCCTGGCCCGGCCACCAAATTAATGTTTTTCTCTTCTTTTGGCAGGAGGAGGAGAACGGGAACCGAGCAGGTGAGCGCCGGCGCTGCGTCGCTTCGGGGACCCCCCCCAGCTCAGGGGGTTGTCACCACCTGGATCAGTAGGCAGAGGGGTCCGGGGGGCACAGGGCTGTTACGGGTCACAGCTGTGGCCGGGGGACACCGTCCCCCATCTCCACTGTCTGGTTTCATGGCCCTAAATATCAGCTGGCAGGGCCATGGTGGCACTTGGCACGGCAGACGAGCCCGGTGTCCCCAAAGCCCTTGGGGAGGTTCGCTGGACCCTCACCCCAGGGGGGTCTGTCCCAAAGCTGGGGGGAAAGGGGGGGCTGCGGCGTGGCCAGCACCGGCCCCCGTGGCTCGTCTTGAGCTGGGGGTGTTTGGGGACGGGGACACGGCCCCGCTCTCCCGGCGGCTGCTGGTGACGTGAGCGAATGTGAAGGTGTCGGAACGGATCGGCACGCCGGCAGCGTGACGAGGCGCCGGGGCTGCCATCCCCGGGGGGGGGGAGGGGGGG